TGGGTACCAGGGGTGTACATGGATTCACCAATCCAATCTCACGAAGTCAGAAGCCGACCGGAAGGTCGCTGCCGAGTACGTCGACAAGCAGTACAAGAAGGTGCAGCGATCCCTGGATGGACTGGTTGAGATTTCAAAGGACCCCCGTGTCATGTCTGTGCAAGTCATCGGGAACGGTGACCATTCCGGATACTCATTGCCGCCATCTTACAATCGTGAGATGGGCAAGCACATCAACTGGCTGGCAGAGCGCGGCATTCAATGTGTGAACTCCACTATGCTCGCTCAGGGTGGTAAATACGACAACTACCACTTGCACGACCACCAGTTTAACCGGAAACTGGTTTATCGTTTCTTGAGAGGAGCCATCACCTTCCACCTCAAATACGTTGAGCTCATGTCGAAGCAGGACGAGCTCAGGTACTTTGTGAAGAAGTTCATCAGCAACGAACAAGACCGTGTGGCCGCGGTCCATCTCTTCCCCACGATGGTTCAGTTTCGTTTGGCTTTGCTCGGCACTCAAGAGGTCATGGAAGCCGTCTCCACTGAGAAGAAAACGGCAACCCCTGCCCAGGTCTTTGATGAGGCAGATGAGGAGATCCTCATGTGGGTCCATGCAGGAATTCTTGAGGCCAACGAGGAAGCCACCCGGGAGGGAAGGCCGATGCCCACAGCTTTCACTGATGAAGAGATCAGCTCCATCGTCCCAATTGACCCTTCGATCGAGGACTACGAAACCGAGGAGTTCAGGGCCCGACAATACCTTCAAGAAGATCTGAATCAGGCCGCTGCTGATGGTTTCTCAACCACAACCATTGAGTCGATCGAGGTCAATCCTGAGAACACTGATGTCGAAGATGATGTTGAAGTTGTTCCCGAGTTTGATGAATGGGACGTGATCCTTGACGAGAAGATCATTGTCAATCCCCATGATGAGAAGGTCAAGGAAGATGAAATCTCGGAGGACCGAGCCAAGGAGGTTGCGGATCTCAACAAGATCATCGAGATCACATCCACTGAGGCAAAGCCTTCGGGAACGTCGGCCGATGACCCTGCTGCTGCAAAAGATGCACCTGCCAAGGTTGACCAAGGGGGAGAAGACATGACTTCATCGAGGATTTCAACATGGAGCGTGGTTGGTGGTGATGAATCCAAGCCCAGCGACATGACTTCTTCCAGGATCTCAACATGGACCGAGGCTGGTGGGTCTGAAGCCACTGCCATGGATGTTGACTCTGAGAAGAAGGAAGGAGCTGATGCTGCCCGGAAGGGTGTGCCAACTGACACTGCGGTTCCTGAGGCTTCTGCTTCTTCCGAACAGCCTGCTGACAAGACTGCCATTGTCGACCTGACCAAGACCGAGAAGAAGGTGGAGGTTGACAAGCCAGTTGGAAAGCCGGCCGAAAAGAAAATGCCGAAGAGTGAAAAGCAAAAGGCACCAGAGTCCAAAGCGCAGCCCAGACAGAAAGCGCCGCGACTCAGTGTCGAAGCTGATGCAGCCCTTCGCAAGTTGGAAGAAGCAACGGAACGCCAAGAGGGATCAGTATGGTTGGACCCCAATGACATGATCAACAGGATCCCCAAGGAGTATTGCGGCCAAGGGCGACTGAGATTTCTTTCCACAAAGTTGTCTTATGTTCTCCGTGGACACGCATTGAGCTATGGTGCTCGCAGCCCAGACATCGATCCCATGGATCTTTCGATGGATTTCGAGGCGGTGATGAAGACGATGGCCCACTACGTCTCCTACCCGAAGATCAGTGAGGTCCTGTCCATTGTGCGCAACAGTGACACCAGGCGCTTCCAGGTGAAAGTGGCCCAGCCCGATTTGCCTGAAGCAACCTGGAAGGGTTTGCCATGGAAGGTTGTCGCCATCAGAGCAGTCCAAGGACACAACCGCGCAGTGGTGGAAAATGCCAAGATTTCATCGCTGGTGAAGGAAGTGTTTACTCTGGATCCAACCTTCTCCAAGGCCGACCTCGACACGCCCAAGTTGCCAAGGACAAACCTTCGTCCAGACCTTGTGCCGGAGTTGATGGCTGCACTCCCAAGGGTTATCTACCATAGCTGCGACAGGCTCGCTATGGAAAAGATTGTTGAACATGGTCTCATCCCAGGTGGCTGGCCCCAAAGAACAGGAAGGGCGCATAATTTCTTTATTGCGTCGCATCCATGGGATGATTCAGTCGGTGGCAGAAAGCTCGCGGGAACGCGAGCCGGGAAGCAATATTACATTGCCTTTGACACCGAGCTCATCGTCCAAAGCGGCTGCCGATTGTTTCGCACAGACGAAGCAATCATAAGCCCTGACTGGATCTCCAACGAGAACATCATTTGCACATATGATGCTGTCAACCGGGAGTTTGCCTGGGTGAATCGCCCCTATGAGATCACACGTGTGGGGTACAACAGCAAAATGAAGACCCACAAGGACCAGGACACTCCGAAGAAAGAAGCCTTGTCCAAGAGCCCGTATGCCAACGCCAGGGACAGTCTGAAGGCCTACCTCATGAGCGGCAAGTCCATTCGACCAGGCCAGATGCAGATGACCGACTCTCCGGAAGAGCTTCCCCCACTTCTTCGTCGACGTGAAGGAACTTCAGGACCCTTTGAAGACAAGGTGACGTTGAAGATGGCCTCCTTTGGTGCTTTGTCCAATGCTGAAACCATCCGCAAGGGCAAGGGCCGGGGAAAAGGCAAGGGAAAAGGAAGCCGCCCGGGAGGGCTGGCCCAGCGCTCAACAAATGCTGAGGATTACATCTACAGCTCAAAGATTGAGATGCAGCAGGTCAGATGCCACTTCTGCGGTGAACAGAACATTGAGGGCACCCACAAGTGTCAGTCGTGCTTCAAATGGCTGATTGCTTGGTCGGATGGAAGAATTGCGACAGAGGTATGCCGGATGGAAATCTCGGCCAAGAAAACCAATAAGGTGTTTTCCCTGGACAAGATCGATTTTGAGAAGCAGCCACGTGCTCAGCGAGTTTCTGACCGCACCCGAGCAGATCAACGTCGAGCTGGACGAAGTAACTTCGGAAATCTCAAGGACGCTGCTCAGACACATGCGGGAAGATACACAAAGCTCGGCTTCAAATCGATCCAGGACCGCATGGAGAAGGACCCATTTTATTTGTTCAACAATGCGGTTGGCCAGATAACCCCTGACTGTTGTCAGTTTTTGGAGGATCTGGCAAAATGCATTGCCCCTGATGTTGGCCGTACCCGAGAGAAGCGAGAAAAGCAGCTGGGAACAGGTGTCAGCACTCGTTTGATTTTTATGCCTGACTTCAACAGAGACATCCGACTCCCGTTGGACGTTACCAAGGAAGCCATGGTTGCACATCATGCACGTGTTTTTACACTCCCACAATTTGCTGTTCTTGCTGCGGACTTGCTGAAAGCGAGGGGGGAACCCACGCCGATGTTATTTGGTTGGTCTGGCTCAGTGTTACCTGTGGATCAGGCTTCAGCCCAAGATTGTTTCTTTGACCTCGTCGACTTCGCGAAGAGGCAGTGGAAGGAACAATACAATAACATCAAGGGTGAAGAGCACTCCTTCGTGGATGAAGCCACCGCATCAGATGTGGCTGAGTTTCCATTGGCAAGGTCCTCCAAGACGGGTACTGGCGAAGGGCGAGAGGGATACCGGCGTCACTTTGACCCGATCCAGAAGCCAGCCAAGGGCAAGGGCAAGGGTTATGGTCAGCAACAACGACCAATCTTTCAGCAGGCCATTGAGTGCTGGAAGTGCGGTCAGTATGGCCACAAATCCTTTGAATGTCGCAGTGGATGGAGCCGAGGGCAACAGTGGGGTTCATATGGATCTTACTCAAGCCGCTCGGGAGGGCAGGCCCAATGGCAAAGCTGGAATTGGAATCAGGGCTACTCTGGCCGAGGTTGGACTGCTGATCCTTGGGGGAGATCGACAGCATCGAGCTCCTCGGCAGCTCCTCCGGAGCCAGTGCAGCCACCTCCAACGGCAACGCCTGTGCCTGACACAACACCATCTGCTGGCGATTCTGCCCAAGCTGCCTCTGGATCAACCCCTGCAGCGGAGCCTCCACGACAGGTACCTCGTGCACCAGTTGTGATTGCCGAGGAGTACTGCGAGATCAACGGCCAGCCACACTTCAAGCGCACCTACAATGATGGGACGGTAGAATTTGAATCTTGGTAGATGTTTCACATCTCATGCCATGATTTTATGCCTACCGGAAGGTTTGGCCGATTGGATGAAAGCTGACCTATGGTCATTCAGTTCAATCGAATTGCACATATTTCCAAAACTTGAAATTTCAACTTGATAAACTTTTCCAATTGCTTCAAAAAGAGTTTGACATCAGCATCCGATCCGTTGCGGTAGTTGCACGTGTACAGATGCCGTGTAGGTTAGCCTGATACAGTAGTTTCCGAACCAAAGGCAATTGAAAGGAATGGTAATGTTCCTATGCCTTGGCGGAAGCCAGGCCAACTTCACTTTTGTCTCTGTCAAACATGTGCCGTGCCTGGATTGAAAAGCAGATGCATCCGAACACCTTTTGCCTCATGCATTCGAGCTATGACCATTTTCGCATAACATTAGGTAGTTGTATGTACAGTGATGTCTGTGTTTGCCCGCTCTCAGGTCACCTCTGGCGGGCTGCTGCTTCCGGCCTCCGTTAATCTGCGGACGGCGGGGGGTGTTTAATATGAATACCCCTGTACATACTGTATTAATTCATTTACCTACGTTATGTTATGGCTCAAGAAAACAAGCGCGTATTGCTGTTCGTTTGTGGCGTGTTAGCCTGTAAAACAGAAAATAGGCCTTATATATGGTAGGTACCTCCCATTTAGGTTCCGGAAATGGCAATTTTGAGTAAGCCCATTTTTTTTGTTTCCGGAAATGGCCATTTTAATAAGTAAACCATCTGAAAATAAATGTTGATTAAACAATGTAGGTACCTCCATTTTTTGGGTTCCTGTTGCATGGCCATTGATCAATTTGCGGCTGCGAAGAGGCCATTGCGGTGTTACACAAAGAAATTTTCCATCAGGCCTGGTGGACGGAGCGCTGTGAATGGATGGTTTTTTCCTCAAAAAATATGGCAATGATATCAATTGGAGGTACCTACCATATATAAGGCCTATTTAAGGGCTAAATTTCAGGGAATATCCCCACAAAATATGGCCTGAAATATGGTACTAACGTACCTCCATTTTTAGGATCCTGAAATTCTTATTGATGATAGGGTTTCACCCATCCCCACATGAGGTTGTGTAACAAGGAAGGTAATGACATTTAGTATTGATATGCCCTGTGGGTTGGTTTCCACACAAAACAATAAGGAAGAAAACACAATAAGGTTCACATATAATATGCTTAGCATATGGGCTGACTTGCTCGGGTTACAGTTTAAAACCAACCTTTGGGAGAGGAACGTTATGTTCTTTTCTGGTGCTTGGATTTTCCCGTTTTCCTATTTCACTTGTTGTTTCAAGGTTTCTCTTATTCACCCATGATGTGCATTGGCACCTGGCGTAGTGGTATCACACCTGCTTAGCATGCCGCAGGCTTTGGTTTCAACTTCTACTGTTGCCATGCTCACTGGAGGTCTGAGGTTGTTGTACTCCCTTGGTGTTTTGAGCTCGAAAGCTTAAACCGACTTTTGTTCGCCGAAATGTGTTCTTTGAATGTTCCTTGGGGTTTGGTGCTGGGAACAGCCGGGGACTTGAAGAAACAATTTTAGCTTGCAGAAAATCTTTTCCACCTTCCAGGTGACCGTCTCTAGATTTTAACAAACGTGTGCCCGGCTCGCCGCGGCTCATTCACTCTCACTCACTCTCACACACTTTCAATCACTGTCACTCAGTGTCACGCACTCACACTCACTCTCTCAGTCTCAGTCTCACTCTCACTATAGCTTTCAGTCTCACTTTCACGCTCCGTCTCACGCTCACTTTCAGGTTAACTCACATTTTCACTTTCACCCTCACTCTCACTCTCATGCGCTCTCTTGCACTCTCTTTCTCATTCTCATTCTCACTTTCATTCTCAGTTTCCGTCTCACCTTCATTCTCACTCTCATCAATGCCCACTCTCATTCTCAGTTTCATTTTCAGTCTCATTAAATATCTTCATTCTCACTGCCATTCTCACTATCCTTCTCACTTTCATTGTCACTCTCAATGTCACTCCCATTGTCACGCTCATTACACTCATTGTCACTCGAGCTCATTCTCACTCTCACTCTCACCCACTCCCAGTCAGTCACTCTCACTCACTCTCAGTCTCACTCTCATTCTCGCTCTCGCTCTCGCTCTCCCAGTAAACTTTCACGCGCACTCTCACTCGCACTCGCACTCTCATTCTCACTTTCACTCTCACTCTCACTCGCTCACACTCTCACTCACTCACACTCTCACTCACTCTCCCCCACTCTCACTCACTCTCTTCCACTTTCACTCTTACTTTCACTCACTCTCACTTTCACTCATTCTCGCTTTCATTCACTCTCACATTCATTCACTCTCATTTTCATTCACTCTCACTCACTTTCACTCACTCACATTTTGAGGCAACCCCATATATCAGATAGAATGCCAGGCGAAATGTCAGAAGATATGCCAGATACATATGCCAGACAGAGGGTCATACATATACCAGGTTGCTTTCTTGCTGGTAGGACTTGTAGCTGAGGGTTTGTACTAGGGCACGGAATGCTTTGAAATGCCATGGAGGGGATCACTCGAAGTAAGGTAATTTGGATGTTCCTTAAGATTGGTGCTTGGAAGGGCCGGGGACTTGAAAAAAATGCGTTTGCTTGCTGAACATGATTTGTTTGGATGTCTCTTTAGATTTAGTGCTTGGAAGGGCTGGGGACTTTAAAAAAAATGTTTTCTGAAAATCGTTTCTTGGTTGTAGATCTGTTGATGTTTGCTTTCACATACAGGGTCAGCAACTCGTCCGGTGCATGCGAACCTGACTTCCGCAAAAAACGGGATACTGCTTTCATGGGAAAACGATAAGGCGTGCATGTTTGGTAGCCATTTCCCTGCGAAACATATATAATGTTTGGATGTGCGATTAAATTAAAACCCCGTAGTCCTACATCCTCAAATAGGTTTCCGGTTGGTCTTAGAGAATGGATTGTTGCTGTGACAGTGGTTTAGTATCAACTATCATCGATATTTGCGCGCACCGCAATGTTGAATCCGTACACAACATTTTTTTGATTTCATTGGGAGACACCAAGCGACGTTGTACGTAAAGATTGGTGCACGTTTGCACCGCCAAAAAAAGGTCACGGTACACCATCTATTGAAAACGAGGACTCGGCAGACTACTAGATGATTTGCGAAGGTGCCATAAATGTTTTTTGGAAGGAAACAATCCCAGACATTAAGACTACATCCTCCAGATATCTACTTCCCTTCGACACGCTCCTGCACATGTGATAATAAATCATTTGTAAGGAATATGGACTGGTAAAATCTTAATTTTAAATAATATAATATATATATATATATTATAATATAATATAATATAATATTTAATATATGATATAATATAATATAATATAATATAATATATATAATATAATATATATATTTAATATTTAATATAATATAATATAATACAATATAATATAATATTTAATATATAATATTATATATATATTATATCATATAAACTATAACATATATATATAATATAGTTTATATTATATATAATATATATATAATATAGTTTATATAATATATAATATATAATATATATAGTTTATATAATAATATACACACATATGTATATATATGTATATTTGTGCATAGATAAGAATGGATGAGTGCATAACAGGAAGACATGATGCTATAGCACCGCGTCGCTCTGAAGCTCTGGCTCAAGCAAAGCCTTGCCAGGGCAGAACCCTGTGAAGACAGAGAGGGGTCGGGGGTTCAGGGTTGCACACAGTGCCACTGGCCGTATGCCTGGCAGATGGGTTGGTGGGAAAGGTAGGCTCGGTGTTGGATTTTTTCCATCGCCGTGATGAATCGGGCGCCAGGTAATGTGCACATGGCCCAGGTGGAGCGGCTGCCGCATGCCACGGGGTAGACTCCACTTCCACTGGTGGACCCTTCAAAATTCGAATGAAAATCCTAGGAAAACAACTGTAAATTTGATGGTTGACCATCATTTTTCGCCAATAAAACTGCCATTTTTGCAAGTAGATACTGCATGTTCAGACATGTGCCATGGTCAAAAGTTGGATTTCACCATTAACCACTGGGGATTCAATGTGATTGACATTCAGGGATGCAATGGGACACACAACCACAGATTATGACCCTACTAAAACCTTAACCAAATTCAGCAGTTGGGTTAGATGAGCCATACTGGGGGGATGGTCATACCTCCACTAAAAACGGGATTTATAGTAGCCAATACAAGTAGTACCGCACAAGGCGGTGGCGGAAGTTTCAAAAATAGGAAACCTATAGGAGAGGTTGGTTGTTGTGAATCACGGATGGCAGAGCGAAGCCACTGATGGATCGAAATGTGATTGATGTCTCCTCTCTTTCTCTCTCTTTCTGTCTCCTTCTCTGACTATCTACCTACCTACCCACCTATCTATCTATGTATCCATCTCTCTCTCTCTGTGTCTGTCTGTCTGTCTGTCTATCTATCTACCTATCTATCTAATCTATCTATCTATCTAACTAACCTAGTTATCTATCTATCTATCTACCTATCTATCTATCTATCTAACTAACCTAGTTATCTATCTATCTATCTACCTATCTATCTATCTATCTACCTATCTATCTATCTATCTCTCTCTCTCTATCTCTCTCTATCTCTCTCTATCTATCTCTATCTATCTCTATCTATCTCTATCTATCTCTATCTGTCTCTATCTATCTCTATCTATCTCTATCTATCTATCTATCTGTCTATCTACCTACCTACCTACCTACTTACCTACCTACCTACCTACCTACCTAATCTATCTATCTATCTATCTATCTATCTGTCTATCTACCTACCTACCTACCTACTTACCTACCTACCTACCTTATCTTATCTTATCTTTTCTTGTCTTATCTTATCTATCTAATCTATCTAATCTATCTAACTTATCTAATTTATCTACTTTATCTAATCGATCTAATCGATCTAATCGATCTAATCTATCGAATCTATCTAATCTATCTAATCTATCGAATCTATCTAATCGATCTACTCGATCTAATCGATCTAATCGATCTAATCGATCTAATCGATCTAATCGATCTAATCTATCAAATCGATCTAATCGATCTAATCGATCTAATCGATCTAATCGATCTAATCGATCTAATCGATCTAATCGATCTAATCGATCTAATCGATCTAATCGATCTAATCGATCTAATCTATCCAATCTATTCTAATCTATCTAATCTATCTATCTACCTACCTACCTATCTACCTATCTACCTATCTACCTATCTACCTATCTACCTATCTACCTATCTATCTACCTATCTATCTATCTATCTAGCTACCTGTCTTTCTGCAAGCTTGAAAACGAAGCTATTCTGCGAGACGTCCTCAGGTTGTGAACTTGACAACATCAAAAACGCAGCAATTCTGCGAGACTTCTTCAATGTTTGAACTTGACAACGTCAAAAACGAAGCAAGTCTGCGAGACATCCTTCAAAAATGGAAAGTTGCGTGCAGCGCTGACGGCCTCGTACCAATGAGTTTTGCAATTTTTCCAATCCATTTGTCTAAAGTAGTGCGCCTGCCACGAAAAAGTGAGGCCAGGTCATACGAAGTGCTGCACCTGTTACGCAAAATTATCTCAGCAAACCTGAAGATCTCAGGCTCCAAAATGCAACCCCTCTCAGGAAACCAGCGCCCGGACCTCCTAACAGCTCTGATGAACACGTCTCTTGTACTGTGCCTGCCACGGAAAATGCATCTTTGCAGATCCTGTTCAAATGTCCCACGCCTGCCATCGTTTTTGGAAATGCTACAAAACCCTCACGTTTTGCTCATTTTTCACAAAGTGCACAATCCCTTGCGCCTGCCACGCGAAACGACACCTGAACGTCCAAAAGTGGCGCCGGAAAAGCAAAGTCAAAAAGTCAAACATTTTTTTTTTGGGCGAAAAGTTGCGTTTAAACCACCCAAACAATACACCAAACTGGATACGCAAGGGTTCCTGTCTTATCATCTATCCTCAACCATAAGGCAAGCGAGGTCCAGGTTTGTGGGTCGCGAAAATGCCTAGCAAGAAACCCACAAAAATGATAGTTGTTCACCGATTCACGCAAATGCACTGGTACACACCAAACTGGATACGCAAGGGTTCCTGTCTTATCATCTATCTTGAACCGTAAGGCAAGCGAGGTCCAGGTTTGTGGGTCGCGAAAATGCCTAGCAAGAGACCTACAAAAATAGCTGTTCATCGACTCGCGCAGATGCATTGATAGACACCAAGCTGGATACGCAAGTATAGCTGTCTCTGTCTATGTTTATTGCTGATTCAATTCATATATCCAGCCAGTCCATATCTATTTTTACTATCTTTTGGATTCCTTTGGTTCATAAATTACTTGTCGTACCTAATGCATCAGTGAGAAAAAACAAAAAAATCAATAGTTGAACAAAGATGGAAAACACCAAGTCGAACACGTTGATGACTTTTTTATATAGGCGAAAAAATCGCAAAGTTAGGAATCTTTAAGCACTTGCTGACAGTTTTGAATTGCCAAGTCATAAAAGCAAAGTCGAAGTGGGCAAAACTTTCCTTTTTTTTGGGCAAACGGCTAAAAAACAAAAAACGCAAAAAGTCGAAAAACATGAAAAGTCGAACAAACCGAAAAGTCGAAAAGTCGAAAAATCGAACAAAAGGAAAAAACGAAAAGTCAAAAAGTCGAAAAAATCCCAGTTCAGGAGATTTATGTTCAAAAAATGAAAATTCGAGAATTCAAAAAGTCGAAAAGCCGAAAAATCGGACACTTTTTGATTTTTTGCGAAAAAACGCTTGAAAGGTCGAAAAAATCGAACAGTCGAAAAGACAAAACCTTTTTGACTTTGTGTTTTTTTTCGAAAAGTTGCGCCCGAAAAGTCGAAAACTTTTTGATTTTTTGACTTTTTGCGAAGAAAAATGAAAAGCCGAAAAGTCAAAAACTTTTTGACTTTTGGGGAAAAACTTTGCAATTTTCGCGCTGTGCGATTACCGGCGAGAGGAGCGCTTAGTTGAGAGCCACCATGAATCATTGCTGTCCCACAGCAACTGGCAACCAGTTGCTGTGCAGAGGTAAGTCTCGCCGGATGCAGCTTGGTTTGGTACTGTCAAAAGCGCGTTTTTTTGAGGGAGATTGTACGAGATTGTGATTCGCATGGGTGAATGTGTGAAGGTCCTGGTCCATGTTGTTGTGCTGGACAGCATTCAACCGCGGATCCAGCCACACCTTCGTCATTTGGGGTGGGCTACAGAAACCCTACAGATGTAGAAGAAACGGCACTTCATGAGTGGGTGATACGGCCTGTGCGGGTGTGTGGGCATAGCTGTGTGACACATGTGTATATGTATATACCGTATACCATGTACCTATCTTATCCTATATTATCAACTTCAATACCCTTACATGGATAATGGGTAGTTTTGTTCATTCATGGTAGTTCATTGTTTGCAAAGCTGATGCGCCGCCATGGTGGCTTTGGCGATTGCACTATGAATGGCACAATCACCAGACCTGTCAAAGCGGCAGTCCTTCTTGAACGTGTTTGTAGGCCACCAGAAACAAGTCTAGTTGACATATGTTGACATCCGCTACTTCACTGAAGTTTGGAATTGGACATGTAGAAAAACCCTTTGACTTTCAATGGGAGATGAAGCTGAATTGGCAATGTTCAACGGGACGTTTCACCAGAATCATTTTACCGTTGGAACGCCTTCAGAAGGCACAGGGGCCGTGATTGCAGCGCGTGTACGGCTCAAGCATGCTGCAGACAAGGCAAGCCTAGGAGAGCAGTGTGCATGGAGGATGGCATTGTCACATCAATATACATCAATCATATCAATTCACACCAGTCCAACCTGGCTACCTGGTTCCTAAGCACCGCCTTGGATCCGGCCTGCGCCGTAGTGACGCCGATGGCCATGCTAACATTCAGCCTGGAGTGCCGTGGCACATTGCCCGGCCAAGCAGTGTTCATTGTCGGTTCTGTGGCAGAACTTGGAACATGGAAAATCCCCTTAGGTGCGCCGTTTTCTTCCTTGCTCAGAACAACGCAGTGGACGGTTTCGCATTGCTATCATTGCTATGTGCTGTACGCATGGATAGTCATGGATGGAGAACTTGGATGTGTCATATGTGTCTGTTGACCCTGTCATTTCCTTGGAGGCTTGCAGTGTACCACAACACCGCAGACGTTTCCGATCTGGACAGGGGAAGTGGCGATTAAGGCCACTGAAACCATTGCATCTCAGCAATTCCATTGGAAAACATATTTGACACGTGCAGCCTGTAGTATGCAAAACTTCCAATCCTCCGTTTAATTACTTTATGTTAATTTCTTGCCAGATTTGTGACATCTTGCAATACCCTGTCGGGCACAGGAAGAACCTGCTCGATTAAGCATGATTAAGTTCTCCCTTGTTGGCGTTGCCGAGGAATTTAAGATGGTCACCGCTGATGAAAAAGATGCCGCGAACCCCGTGTGGGAGGACGGCTGCAACAAAAAAATGCAGCCTCCAGCAGGTTGCCAGGTCACGGCCTCCACAAACCTTGGCTTTGCCTGCCCATCTACACTGCCAACTGCCAACTTGCTCGCGTCCTCTTGCAGCTGGCCTTCGTCCTGCACAGCTGCGGTGAGAGGACCCTGTCGCAGCACCAAAACACCATGGCAGCGAAGGACGGATCCGGCCCGCGGCCGGCAGCCCATACTGCCAAACGTCGCTTTCTGACCTGCCTAGAAACTAGCTTTTTTCTGCCGTCAGCTCGGGTCCAAGGACCGTGTCGCAGGTCCAAGGACCGTATCGCAGGCCTCAAAAGCCGGGTCTGTTGACCTCTTCTCTGACACGCTCCCCCTTGCTGTCGGCAGGGGTCGGCGGATATGCTTGGCATATGGGCTGACTTGCTCGGGTTACAGCTTAAAACCAACCTTTGGGAGAGGAACGTTATGTTCTTTTCTGGTGCCTGGACTTTCCAGTTTCCTATTTCACTTGTTGTTTCAAGGTTTCTCTTATTCACTCATATTCACCCATGATGTGCATTGGCACCTGGCGTAGTGGTATCACACCTTCTTAGCATGCCGCAGGCTTTGGTTTCAACTTCTACTGTTGCCATGCTCACTGGAGGTCTAAGGTTGCTGTACTCCCTTCGTGTTTTGAGCTCGAAAGCTTAAACCGACTTTTGTTCGCCGAATTTGTTCTTTGGATGTTCCTTAGGGTTTGGCGCTGGGAACAGCCGGGGACTTGAAGAAGCCATTTTAGCTTGCAGAAAATCTCCACCTTCCAGGTGACCGTCTCTAGATTTTAACAAAGGTGTGCCCGGCTCGCCGCGGCTCACCGCGGCTCACTCTCTCAGTCTCAGTCTCACTATAGCTTTCAGTCTCACTTTCACGCTCCGTCTCACGCTCACTTTCATTTTCATTTTCACCCTCACTCTCATGCACTCTCTTGCACTCTCTTTCTCATGCTGATTCTCATTCTCACTCTCACTCAGTTTCCGTCTCACCTTCGTTCTCACTCTCATTAATGCCCACTCTCTTTCTCAGTTTCATTTTCAGTCTCATTAAATAGCTTCATTCTCACTCCCATTCTCACTCTCATTCTCACTATCCTCCTCACTTTCATTGTCACTCTCAATGTCACTCTCATTCTCACTTATTGTCACTCGAGCCCATTCTCACTCTCACTCTCACCCACTCCCAGTCAGTCACTCTCACTCACTTTCACTCTCAGTCTCACTCTCATTCTCGCTCTCGCTCTCGCTCTCCCCCTCACTTTCATGCTCACTCTCACTCGCACTCTCACTCTCTTCCACTTTCACTCACTCTTACTTTCGCTCACTCTCACTTTCACTCATTCTCGCTTTCATTCACTCTCACATTCATTCACTCTCACTTTCATTCACTGTCACTCGCTTTCACTCACTCACATTTTGACGCAACCCCATATGTCAGATAGAATGCCAGGCGAAATGTCAGAAGATATGCCAGATACGTATGCCAGACAGAGTGTCATACATATATCAGGTTGCTTTCTTGCTGGTAGGACTTGTAGCTGAGGGTTTGTACTAGGGCACGGAATGCTTTGAAATGCCATGGTGGGGATCACTCGAAGTAAGGTAATTTGGATGTTCCTTAAGATTTGGTGCTTGGAATGGCCGGGGACTTGACACAATGATTTTTGCTGGCTGAAACTTCTTTGTTTTGGATGTTCCTTTAGATTGGGTGCTTGGAAGGGCCGGGAACTTGAAAAAATTGCGTTTGCTTGCTGAACATGATTTGTTTGGACGTCTCTTTAGATTTAGTGCTTGGAAGGGCTGGGGACTTGAAGAAATGTTTTCCGAAAATCGTTTCTGGGTTGTAGATCTGTCGATGTTTGCTTTCACATACAGGGTCAGCAACTCGTCCGGTGCATGCGAACCTGACTTCTGCCAAAAAAAGTGATATTGCTTTCATGGGAAAACGATAAGGCGTGCATGTTTGGTAGCCATTTCCCTGCTTAAAGATAAACAAAATATATAATGTTTGGATGCTTGCGCGCGCCGCAATGTTGAATCCGTACACAACATTGTTTTAAATTTCGTTGGGAGACACCAAGCGACGTTGTATGTAAAGATTGGTGCACGTTTGCACCGCCAAAAAAAGGTCACGGTACACCATCTATTGAAAACGAGGACTCGGTAGACTACAAGATGATTTGCGAAGGTGCCATATTTTCTTTTTGGAAGGAAACAATCCCACACATTAAGACTACATCCCCCAGATATCTACTTCCCTTCGACACCCCCCTTAACATGAATAGTGATAATAGTAATAAATCATCTGTAGGGAATATGGACTGGTATAATCTTAAATTTCAATAATATATAATATAATATATATATATATGGTCCATATATATATAATATGTATATAGATAAGAATGGATGAGTGCATAGCAGGAAGACATGATGCTATAGCACCGCGTCGCTCTGAAGCTCTGTCCCAAGCAAAGCCTTGCCAGGGCAGAACCCTGTGAAGACCGAGGTCGGGGGTTCAGCGTTGCCCAGTGGCCGTATGCCTGGCAGATGGGTTGGTGGGAAAGGTAGGCTCGGTGTTGGAAGCCGTGATGAATCGGGTGCCGGGCGGCTCCTCAAGCAAAACAAGCTCCACCAGTGTACTTGGTGCGCCCAGCGCTGCCAGCGCTACCAGGCTCCTTATGCGAAAGCTCCAGCAGAGACTTGGCTGCCAGATATGGGTCCCTAATTTCATCATGGGAAATCGAAAGGAAATCAAACGGGAATCAAAGACCTGAATTTTGTCACAGGTCACCAACCTGAAAAGTTCGCTCAGAATCTGGGACAATTTCCCCAATTCTGACAGTGCACAAGTGGTATGGTTTACACCCCATGTTTTGGGGCGAACTTCACCGCCATCAAACCATCAACCCCTATGGGGCGAACATATGTTACGCCATTTTTTGGGGCGTGTACTTTTGAAGCCAGGTGTACTTCGTTCGCGCAGCTCTTCCAGCGCTGCCAGCCTGTTTGTCAGGATGAACCATCAAAGCCTCGGACAAACCCACCGGAGATATGCCTAACCAGTTGAAGAAATAACACCATTAATCAGTTTTTTGAGATCAATACCCATTAAATCCCAGTTATACCCTGTTAGTTGCAGACTTTTTTCCCCACCTGCCAGGTGAGGGTTGTTAGATTTTATCTAAGTTGCCTTCTCCTGCCTCCTCTCCTCCTCCTCTCGTCGTCCTCCTCTCGTTGTCCTCGTCGTCCTCGTTGTCCTCCTCGTCCTCCTGCTCAACTGCGACTCGCGATCCACAGTGTTCGCTGCCGGACCTCAACCACGACCATCCACGCCCAGTGTTCCCTGCCGGACCTCAACCACGGCCATCCACGCCCAGTGTTCCCTGCCGGACCTCAACCACGGCCATCCACGCCCAGTGTTCCCTGCCGGACCTCAACCGCGATAGAAAGAATGCCAGATAAAATGCCAGATAGAATGCCAGATAGAATGCCAGATAGAATGCCAGATAGAATGCCAGAAAGAATGCCAGATAGAATATCAGATAGAATGCCAGATAGAATGCCAGATAGAATGCCAGAATCCATGCCAGATAGAATGCCAGATAGAATGCCAGATAGAATGTCAGAATATATGTCAGAAAGAATGCCAGATAGAATGCCAGAAAGAATGCCAGATAGAATGCCAGATAGAATGCCAGATAGAATGTCAGAATATATGTCAGAAAGAATGCCAGATAGAATGCCAGAAAGAATGCCAGATAGAATGCCAGATAGAATGACAAATAGAATGCCAGATAGAATGACAAATAGAATGCCAGATAGAATGCCAGATAGAATGCCAGATAGAATGCCAGAACATATGTCAGATAGAATGCCAGATAGAATGTCAGATAGAATGCTAGATAGAATGCCAGATAGAATGCCAGATAGAATGCCAGATAGAATGCCAGATAGAATGCCAGGTGGAATGTCAGAATATATGTCAGATAGAATGCCAGAATGTATGTCAGATAGAATGTCAGAATATATTCAAGATTTGTCCAAATATACGTCCTGACATGTCCTGACATGTCATGGTGGGGATCACACGAAGTAAAGTAATTTTTGAGATTGGCTGTGTGCAATATGGATTCGATCGAGTTTCAAACAAACCGAGCTGGTTGATGATTACGGGGATAAACCAAACGAACTGTGACCAGTTGACCCCAGTTGGCCCGGCTCTGAAGGAGCTCGAGAACATCTGTGAGATGCCGGACCGCGAAGACAGAATAAGCCTCGAGGGAAACCCTGCCACACAAAATCACACTTGCATGTCCTTGGATTGTCTGATCTTGTGATATATATATATATATTTTTTTTGATGTTGATTGTTTCCCATTGGTGAATTCAGTTTGGGGAATCTACCGGGAGTTTTTCCCCGAATGCGTAGCAAGGGTTCCCGGTTTCACTATGGGGTCTGGGGGTTGAGGGTGTGTTTCCTCGACGTTGCCCAACCGTCCGCAACCGTTTGCAACCGTTCGCAACCGTCCGCGCGAGCCCCATATGACCGTGCCCATGGTAAGTACTGCAAAAGGGGTCACTTTTGGAGGTTGCACATGTCGCGTTGCTTCGTTTCGCCTGGCAGGCGTGGCACTTCGTGACATTCAAACATGTTTCGTAACGTGTGGAAAGTCGTTTCGTGTGGCAGGCGCAATACTTTTGCGACGTTTTCGCAAGATAAGTTGCAATTTTCGTGGCAGGCGCAACACTTTGGAGGCCATAATCGTGATTTTGCGCGGCAGGCGGTGGCTCGTTTTGCGTGAATCGCATTGTCAGGGCTGCGTGAGGTGGTGACAAGGATTCCGTGGCAGGCGTGGCGTTTTGCGAGATGTGCTGAAAATTGACGGAAGCCTCGCACGAAACATTTGAGGTTGCAAATTTTCAGGTTCTAAGGGAAACTCGTAGGAAAACATCGATTTTGAAGCTACAAAGTGTGAAAATTGGAGGACGTCTCGCACGAAATGCTGGTTTTGATGCTCCAACATGTCTCGTCTCGAGTCTCTGGTTTTCCTGTGGCCTGGCCGTGTCTCTGGGCGAAGCTGCAAAACCTTTCCTTTTCGAAGGTGTCAAAGCAAGTTGTCACATGGTTTTGCTTAGCAAGCGTGGCACTTCCTGACATTCTCATGTGTCTGGAAACGTATCGACAGTCATTTTGTGCGGCAAACGCAGTTTTTGTGCTTCGTTTTCAAAATCTTGGTTGCATTTTTCGTGGCAAACGCATCGCTTTGGAGACCTCCATCATAATTTTGCGTGGCAGGCCCAGCACTTTAGACGTGTCGTGTTGCGTGCTCTACACTCCACACTCCACACTCCACACACTACATTTTACACTCCACACTTTGCACTCCACACTCTACACTTTACACTCCACACTCCTCACTTTACACTTCACACTCCACCCTCCACACTTTACACTCCACACTTTACACTCCACACTTTACACTCCACACTCCGCACTCCCCACTTTACACTCCAGACTCCAGACTCTACAGTCCACACTTTACACTCCACACTTTACACTTTACACTCCACACTCCCCACTTCACACTCCAGACTCCAGCCTCTTACAGTCCACACTTTACATTCCACACTTTACACTTTACACTCCGCACTCCACACTTTGCACTCCACATTTCACACTCCACACTTTACAATTTACACTTTACACTTCACACTCTACATTCCACACTCCACACTCTACAGTCCACATTTTACACTTTACACCCCCCACTCTACACTCTACCCTCTACACTTTATGCGGGACACTCCGCACTCCACACTTTACTCTCCACACTTTGCACTCCACCCCCTTCCGCACTCCACAGTCCAGTGGTACTGTAACGGGGGAAAAATGCACAAGATTGTTTAAACAACTTGTTGCACAAAAGTGTTCTACGTGACTGCATTCGAGTTTGTGGGCTGCATCTTGTTTTTTCCTCTAGGGGGTGCCAGGTCACAAGGATTTCCTGCGGCCCTACCATCCGGACAAGAACCTTCAACACGTTCAGGTGAATGGGCTGCGTGAGCTGCATGGGTGGGCTGCCGAGAAACCAAGCTGCCATGGTCAAGCTGCATGAGCAGCATTCAAATACCTCTCCAGCCTCTTACAGTCCACACTTTACATTCCACACTTTACACTTTACACTCCGCACTCCACACTTTGCACTCCACATTTCACACTCCACACTTTACAATTTACACTTTACACTTCACACTCTACATTCCACACTCCACACTCTACAGTCCACATTTTACACTTTACACCCCCCACTCTACACTCTACCCTCTACACTTTATGCGGGACACTCCGCACTCCACACTTTACTCTCCACACTTTGCACTCCACCCCCTTCCGCACTCCACAGTCCAGTGGTACTGTAACGGGGGAAAAATGCACAAGATTGTTTAAACAACTTGTTGCACAAAAGTGTTCTACGTGACTGCATTCGAGTTTGTGGGCTGCATCTTGTTTTTTCCTCTAGGGGGTGCCAGGTCACAAGGATTTCCTGCGGCCCTACCATCCGGACAAGAACCTTCAACACGTTCAGGTGAATGGGCTGCGTGAGCTGCATGGGTGGGCTGCCGAGAAACCAAGCTGCCATGGTCAAGCTGCATGAGCAGCATTCAAATACCTCTTCGGAATCCTTCCCACAAAACAGGGTTTCAAAATTGCTCATTGTTCTTGTTTTTTGAAGGTCGTGCCTTTGGACCCATTGTCTCTAGAACATCAAAAAACTCCAAAAACTGGGCTTTGCCCATATGTTTCCCTGCCCTCTAAACTCCAAAATTCTGCCATTACATGCTTGAAACATCTTCAAACCTTTCCATATAAGGCGCAGAAATATTCCGAAATGGGGAATTTCGTGGGCAGGAAACGCATAACATAAGGGCAGAATCACGCGTGGAGAGGCAACGTCACCACGCGCAATGTTGGAGCAAAACCTCTCTATAAAATCGACAAATTAGTCTCTATTTGGGGGTCCTTCAAACCTGAATTGTCCATGTTGGAGTCCTGCTGCACCTCACAATGTGGAAAGGGGCAAAGGATGTTTCAGGCAGGCACTGACCAAATTTTGGAGTTTAGCTGTGACTTTTTGATTTTATAGAGAGAATGGGTCCATACCGAGGCCGAGTACATCCACTAAGTACCCCCACGTCCCAATTTCAAACTGTGAAAAGGCAATGTCAACGCGCGCAGTGTTGAAGCAAAACCTCTCGATAAAGTCGAACAAATGTTCTCTTTATTTGCCAGAAGAACAGCTCACAAAGCTTCAGAAGCTCCGGCTGGAACTCGCAGCTCTTCAGGAGCTGGAAGAGATCGCGGAGATGCCGGACCGCGAAAGCAGAATAAGGTCGCACAAGGACCTTTTGCGCCGGTATCATCCGGACAAAAACCCAAAGCACGTCCAGGTGAATGGGCTGCATGGGTGGGCTGCCGAGAAACGACGCAACATAGTCACATAGTTATTAAATGTTATTGAACCCTAATCAATGGATTATATGCGGATTATTGGTTGCTTATTAATAAGCTGTTGCTGGGCTGTCAATGGATTTACAGGGTCAGTCCATTTCAAAATAACATTCTCATAAGCCATCAACAGTCCATGAAGAACCAGTGATAATCCCAGCTGCTTATCTGGGGCATGGACTTCTTCTATTGACGTGATGAGTTTGTAGATCATTTGGATTTGAATCCAAGGTCAAAATGGGATACGCCCCACTTCTTTGTGGCTAATGAACTAATTCTCCACTTGCTGCCTGCTGGATTTCCCTCATAGCGATTGGTCAAGAACGTTATTCCCAGCTCACGGATGATAATCCCCTTTAGTACACTGCCCGAGTAGTCAGCACAGTCAGCATAGTCAGCATAGTCATCCCACACTGGAAATCGGCGATGCCCCAGTTCATGGGTCATTGTAATCTAATCCAACTCTTGAGTATGGCTCATATGAGGGATTCAACGAGTAGATGTTTACATTCGCAACTTTTCTGCTACACATTTTTCATCACCTCGTTTTGGAACCCTGTACAGCGTGAGAAGAAAGGGAACGCGTTAGAAACCATCAAAGACTAACACATCAACATCTACTTGTTGAAACTGTAATGTTTTGACTGTATAATATTATATTCCAAACTCTGAGCGGTGGTAATATATGGTACAATAGTATTTTAGACAGAAACTGTCATGCTTATCATCAGATTCTCGATATTCTCGCCCGAGGTTTTAGGATCTTGAACGAAGGACGTTGGGAAAATGATGACGATAACTGGTGGGTTCTCCAGCGACTAATATTAGATACATAGATAATCATAGGTACATGTGTATTGAATTTCCTGGGAATTATATCATATTGCATCATATTTATCACCAGCCAAAATTACCCTCTAGCGTCGTCAAACATGACTAGTTGGGAATTTACCGAACTAAATGGACATTTGAATGGGAAAGTGCTCGGACTAAATAGGCGAGTTTCCAGCAAACCATGTTTGAATACAAAAAAGTAAACATCTTTGGAGGTCTGAGGCAGACTGCACACGCCTTGAAAGTCAAGCTGCAATGTTCCTGGAATTTCATGCATTGAACGGAACATTTTCAGGAAAGTCAAAGATATATGGAGTAGACACCAGATTATTCCCTGGAATGAGGCCTTACGTATCTTAGCTCAATGCGTTGAGACATCAATGTTCCCACCTGCGAGGCGTGCAGCGCGGCATCTACTAAAGCGTTCTCTCGAGAGAAAATAGCATGATCCCACACTTTTTGGTTGGTTCAGCCGAAATGATGATCCAACATGGTGGTCAGGTCTTGATGAGATCCAACCCGGAACGTCCGTTGGATTTCTATAGCAGGGTCACTTTGTCTGCAGATCACCCACACCTTGTTTGTTGATAAGATGACCAACTGTTCTGATTGGTTTGAACCCAGCCCCCAAAATATTACAGAGTCATACAGAGTCATTGAGAATCGCCCCAACGTAAAAAATGAAATCACCAACCAGACCAGCGTTTGTTGAGTCTGTCCGCGGCTGTAGCCATCTGAACATGTCTGAACTTGACGTGGCAGACCATTAACTTTCACACCAATGTCGCAAAACACATGTAATCTTTGACGAAAGTTTGATACAACAATATGTATATATTTAGGAAGTTTTGATACAATCAATAATAATATATATATATATATACACATGGTTGTAAATATATATATATATATAGGTGTGTATATATATATATCTGTATATATATCAAGTTTTGATACAACAATATGAATATATATATATATATATATATACGTAAATGAATATCAATATAATATTGACAGTTAAGATTTTACCAGTCCAGTTCCGATACTAAACCAAGGTTTCCAGGGAGATGCAACATTACTTGGAAGGAATTGTGATTTCAATATTCCCCATGATACACCAACTAGTCTAGCTCCAAACAAGGCCATCATCAAAGTATTATTCAGGGATATTCAGGGAGTATATTCTTGCTTTTGAAGGCTCATTCCTGCATGTTGGGTTGGTTAGAACCCCAAACACCCATCAACTTCTCATCATGTGTGGTTTGCCTCTCCCATTCTTGGAGGTTCCTTGTTCTTCTGTTGTGCCATACTTCAACACATGGAGTACAGTCAACCGTCCTCCAATACGTGTGAGCTGGGTATCGCTCGTTTAATGACTCATAAAACATGAATTACATCCCGCAGGAAAATCCGCCCGTCAACCTCCAGACAAAAGATTTGTCATGGTGAAATCTGCGCTATGAACCCTGCATGTTTTGCGATACACGTCACCGTTTTTTCCTAGAAAATTAGCCGTGGAGGACGATGCCTTCTACGCGCGGCACGTGCAGTGCCGCAGCAGTTCTTTGGGTGTCATGACGTCTGGCGGCACCGCGGCCAATATCCAGGCGAACTGACGCAAAATACATCGGTTTGAAAACGTGCAATTAACCAGAATTTAGGCCAATGTAATCGATTATCCCAGAAAAATCTAAATATCATATGGTTGTTTATATTCCAGTATATTCCCATGATCGATGCTATTTTCCTGTAAAAAGTGTTTGTTCGACCCCTATGTTTGTTGTTTCATGTTGGTTCTGTGCCAATATATCCGCATACAAGGTGGTGCCGGACAGTTGCGTTTCGTAGTCTCAACCTAATTATCAAAAATTATTTGATATGTATAATAATATGTATATATATATATATACACAATTTCGCCTAGTGAAGTGAACCAAATTACTTCACGAACTGGGCACTGCCAATAAATCACCATAAACCAACTCTATCCCCACTATATCCCCATTACAGCGCCACTAATTCGTATTTTTTTTTTTTTTGCAGGGTTATGATTTGTTGGTTAATCGTCAAATGTATCCCATTAACTAATTTTTTTCCAAGTATATCCCAGTTATATCCCGTGATATTGTCCATTATGAATAATAAACCCGCCATGATTGTTGGTCGTTTGATCCATTAAAGCAAACCAGTTACAAAAAACTATAGACCGTATAATCCATTGCAATACTAGTGAAACTTCATTGTAATCCATGATTTTCCCATTTCACAACTGGGATATGCTTGTTGATCGACGATCCATTGCTGGTTAATCCCCATATGACTATTCCGGTTCTTATGTTTATACATCTAGTACCATGTCTAGGTCATAATACTTAGATAGGACTGATATATACTAGACATATTTTGTTTGTTTGTAGTACCAATGATGTTTCTAATCGCTATGGTATCATCAATAGTCAAATAGAGGATAACGATATTAGTCACTTGCTACTCTTGATGTTTCTATATTTCTATCATAGCCAAATATGTTACTAGTATCAACGGTTCCATTATGATCAGTGATTATAGTTACGATAATCAACAGTGTCTAGAAATATATCAACAAAAAACATTCTTAATGAATTATGTTGCATTTGTATCAGTTATAATGTCAACCCCGGATTACTAAACCATTGTTTATGAATTAGGGGGGTACTCCTCCAATGGTCATTTCATCTGATACTTAAATGGTACCCTCCCAATTAAACAATCGTTTGGGGTTTATTAATCCAGGCTTGACATTAGTTACTATTTATCTCTGACAGACTGCGGCTATCCCCTCGCCGGGATCCGTCAGGCCCTTTGGATGGCGCGGCAGCGGCTGTGTCCCGATGCCGAGGCCAGGGGTCTGACGCTCACGGGAGCCCGCCGCGCGGTGGTGCTGACGTCCGCCTTGGCGCACTATTCGGTGGAGAAGGCGCCACAGGGATGGAACCGGACGATTTCAGGGTGGATTTCATGGTGAACTTACCCTCTGGTTATGTCAAAATAGCTATTGAACATGGCCATAGAAATAGTTGATTTACCCATCTATAAAATTGTGATTTTCCATAGCAAACTGTTAGTTTACCAGAGGGTAATGATTTTCATGGGATTTCATGATGAATTTCATTGTTTTTCATCAAATGTCGGACATGGTGAATTCCAAGGGATTCACTGGGATTTATTGGTGGACTTTATGGTGGGATTTCAACGGATTCAATGGTGACAAAAAAAGGGGCACACTCTTGAGTAGAAAAAACAATCCTTTCTCCGGACACCTTCCAAATGCCATCATTGTTGCTGGGTATATTCATGACGCCGCGCTAATTAGTGGGACAATTTTCTTTTTTGCAAGACATCCCATTCGTCGCGCAATTAATACTCTAAGCCAACTCGCAGCCTCCAAATCTTTAGAGTGTACTTTGAGCACCTGGCATTCGTCACTGCGTGTCCCAGGAGCAGTCTCCATACTCCGAATGGAAGGGGTCTGGAAAACCAGAGAAAAATCGAGATCGAAATATATCCCATGATATCAATGATATCCCAATCATCCCCATGATTTCCCCACGTTTTTATTGTGCCGAGGCGATGTGTTTGCTGGGCCTTGGCAGTGAGAATTTGATCAAAGTGCAGACCTTGAGCGACTTCTCGGTGGACGTAAAAGCCATGAAACGTGTCCTTCAGCGCCTGGAGAATGTCCAGGTGACCATGGTGACCATGGTGACATGGTAGCTGTAGAAAAGATAGGAAAATCTATGACCAACAGACTAAAAAACAACATGATTTGACCATAGTGATAGAATGGGCCAGTTTTTTTTTGGGGGGGAGGTGTAATGCAGGATCTGTAAGTTGTGCATTTTCAGGGATTTTCTGTATGTTTATTATGTTTGTTGATCTAGATACTGCAGATTTCCCTCAAAATACGAGGATTTAACCAAGAAACATGGAGTTTGAATCAGCAGTGTGTGGCTTTTCACCAAGGGTGGGGAGATAATGATTTAATGAGTGTTGGATTCACCCTTCAGACCACCATCAGGGTATTAGATTTCACACAAAAATTATAGATCTCACCAAACTAGATGAGGATTTAACATGTTCGCCAACAAAAAAAAATAGTTTTTTGACGCCGGCATAAAAAGTAACCAGCGATCAGAGGGTTGGTGTTTACCTTCCATCGCCGCCGGATGAGATTCCGGGAGGGTCCGGGCACGCAATGCTGAAATTCATCCAATCAAGGGGACAAACCCGAGGCCCCAGGCTGGAATCAAGGTGAGGTGGTTTTGAACTATTTTCAAATGTTTACAACCACTCGGTGGATCATCCTTATGTAGTCCGTCTTGATCCCAGCTATAAATGGCTAGTTAATAACCTTACCCACCCCGTAGTCAGAGTTGTAACCCAAACTAATCCTGGTTGGTGGTTTGGAACATTTTTTATTTTTCCATATATTGGGAATAATCATTCCAACTGACTAATATTTTTCAGAGGGGTTGAAACCACCAACAAGAATCACTAATTATATGCATCATTCACCAGTACAACCGCCATCAACCATCATCAACCATCATCAACCATCATAGAAAACCAGCCATATCAAACAACCAGGGAACCCAATTTCACCATTAAACCACAACAAAGCATATCGAAGCATATTAAATCAATTTAAATAATCTAGAACCAGCTTAAAAACCATTTTAAACACAGCTTTCTATTAAAAACCACCATGTTTACCCTATGGTAAACTAACATAACTATGGAAAATCATCATTTTATAGCTGGGTAGTCATCAACTATTTCGACTGGGCCATGGCTTCAATAGCTATATTTTGACATAACCAGAGGGTAAATCCCATTCAATTACCAGTAAATCCCACTAAATCCCATTAAAACTATGGAAAATCACGATTTATAATTGGTAAATCCCACTAAATCCCTAAACCAGAGGGTATATTTCGATGGGAAACTTCCCAATGCCCATCCCTCCCTCCGTTCGCAGGTCATGGCCATCGTCGGCTTGGCGGGAGCCACAGAGACGGGCCATGTGGATGACTTGGAAGCGCTGGCGGAAGCTTGGACGCCGGCGTGACTTGGGACTCGGGGTGACTCGCGATGGATGAAAACAGTGGATTCATAGTGGATTAGATGATGGAAAAAAATGTTACTGATGGATTAATGTTGGATAGATCGTAGCCAGATGTTTCCATCACTATCCGTTAGATGATGGAAACATGGAAGCATCTGGCTACTGATGAATAGTGAAAAGATTGCTATAGATAGCCATAGATTTTATCGATGATCGAAAATTTCACGGTGAAACCCATAAATGGATTAATCATGTGAGTTTTTAGATGATGGATTATTCTATGGATGAAGCCATTTATATGGGATAGCCACATTCAATTGATCTTCTTTTAAAAGATTTTGAACAGCTTGCCATCTATCTCGATTAATTATCGAAATTCAGAGTATATTTGCAGCGAAGTGATCATTAAATAAGTATCATTTAATAGTTCATAACTTATCCCATTAATAAATGGATTGATTAATGAGTTGAGTAGTTTTGCAGCGAAGTGAAAATATCAGCAATGGATTAATCGGCAACCCGGTTTGAAGATCCCATGCGGCAAGGCACAGGTCCATATATTTAGCCATGTGCCCATACTCCATACACTGATTTTTATTTACTGAAAATCTGATTTTCTTGATATCAAATTACGGTATGTCCAAATGATTTATCCGAGTATGTCCAAGTTTTTTGCTTCAAGACCCGAGTTGCAGTGAAAATTCTATCATGTTCAGTAGCCATATCTCATGAATTGGTGGTGACCTTCTGGTAATTTAACAGTTTGCTGTGCAAAATCACCATCTTGAATAGGTAAATCTTCCATAAATGGGCCATATATACCATAGCAAACTGTTAGTTTACCAGGAGGAAAAAACCCATTGGCTCCCATGATGTATCCATTATTAACCGTCATTCACCATGATTAACCAATATTATCCGATATTTATGTGGAAGGCTTCTTGCGGCTTCTTAATCATTGTCACCATTCTTAACCATGGTTCCACAATGTGGTGCCCCCAAACGTTATAAATTGGTTTATAAACCCCATTAACTATTGTTATAAGTACCAAAAAGCATAGTTATTGGCAGTTATTGGAGTTATAAACCAACTTAACTATCGTAAACGGGGGCCTAGGGGGCCCCACTTTGCAGGTCCCGTTTCCAAGGATCTTGCAGCTTCGCTGGGCGCGCATTTTCACGTCGACGCCGCTTGGGGCTTCCCCCTACTGTTGGACAAGGACCATGGCAGAGGTTTGATGAAAGGGGCGGAGAGAGCCGACACGGTGGCGGTGGATGGTCATAAACTGTGCCTTGATGGGTGGCCTTGGTACCCTCTGGTTATGTCAAAATAGCTATTGAAGCCATGGCCCAGTCGAAATAGCGGATTTTTCCCAGCTATAAAATGGTGGATCTTTCCATAGTTATGTTAGTTTACCAGAGGGTAGTATGTTTTTTTTGGTTGTGGCAACCCCCAAAATGGTGATGTTAAGTAGGTTTAAGTGTGGTTCATTGAGATGAGCATGGGACAATAATGGGATAATAGTGGGATCATAATGTTGTTCACCCCATAATAAACAATCCCTAAAATCACCATACATGGGATGCATAAACCATGCCCAAATGGTAGGTTGATTGTTGGTTTTATCTCATTAACTATTACACCGCTTTTGGAAATTCGGAAATTACGGGTATTACACTCTGGTGAACATTAAAAAAACTATGGAAAGATCCACCATTTTCAATGGGTAAATCCACGAACTAAATCACTATTTTCAATAGCTATGTTAAATTACCAAAGGGTATATTTTTGGGAGACCTCGATTAAAACGGCCACTAACACAGGTGGAAGTCGAACTGATATAAGTTTGCTTTTTTTGGGGGAAGGTGTGGGGTTGTTGCATCTGACTGAATTCAGTGAAGTGTTATTTTTATTACCTCAACTCAAGTGAATTTATTTCGATCATTGAGTGGGCGGGGGTTGAGGTCCTATCCCCTCCAGATCTCGAGATAGTAAATTCCACTTCTCGGGGGGGTGGTGTCTCTAAGGGGGAAGGAATTGATCCATGATTTTGTCAATGGGAGATCTTCAGGATCCGATTCAAGAAGGAGCTACGTAAACGTACCATATTTCAGGCCATATGAATTGTGGGGATATTCCCTGAAATTTAGGCCTGAAAAATAGGCCTTATATATGGTAGGTACCCTCTGGTAAACTAACATAACTATGGAAAATCACCATTTTCAATGGGTATTTTCAATAGCTATGTTAAATTACCAGAGGGTACCTCCGTCCTCAATCGGTTCCTGTTGCATGGCCATTGATAAATTGGTGTTCAGTTTTTGGAGTTGATCCTTCTAGAAGGGCAACCCGAGTGTTTCTTACCCGACCTGGTAAACAGTCCCAAAAAACGAAAAACGGAAAGATCCAGTAGATGTTTATAAAGGGAACACCACAACTATTTCCACTGGGCCATGGCTTCAATAGCGAACTGTAACAGTCATTACCAGGCCGGGTATATGATATTCCTATATTTATTCACATGATAGTCACACATATAGGTAATCATTTCAATGGGATTTTCAATAGCTATTACCAGAGGCTACTGGTCTTTTGGATGTGTGACTTATCCAGCCAAATTGTGTTCCCTGTGACCCAATGAATTCCGCGAAAAAAAACCGTTTGGAGCCATGTCTGGAGAATCTGAAGGTCCTAAATGCATACCGTTTGTATCCTGAAATGTTTAAGCGTAGACACACACACACAACGCTGCAAGATATAAGTTTGTTTTGAGGTTGAACACAATTTTTGGGGAGTCATTTGCAGGAACATGCAGGAACTATATAAATTTTTGGATCACACATCGCATATTTGCCAGCAACACTGTGATATTCGCCAATGCCTCACGGGATTCCTTCAAAACAAATTCAATGTTTTCCAACATGTTTGGTTACCCTCTGGTAATTTAACATAGCTATTGACCATTTATGGTGGATTTTCCCATTAAACATGGTGATTTTCCATACGTAGTTATGTTAGTTTACCAGAGGGTACATCCTCATTTTTGTTGAGCAAGTTACATTCATACTTGCTTGTGACCGTGGTTTACAACCTGCTCATCAATCGGACAGCATCAGTCATAGAAGACTTAGCAACCACTTATCCTCGCCCATTAGGTTCGATGATTTTTCCACACATATACATATATTAGCATATTGATTTATTTAGATACACATATATATATATAGATAGATCGATGGATAGATAGATTGGATTAGATTAGATTAGATTAAATTAGAGTAGATTATATTAAATTAGATTAGATAGATAGATCGATAGATCGATAGATCGGTAGATCGATAGATATGATGTATATCACCATTATATCCCAGTTAAATTGGACATATGGGTATGGATCAATACCTATACATACCATTTTTAGGGGAATGAACATCCATGAATCCCAGCTATTTTGATGTGAACAGAAGGGGTACTATTGGTTTTGACACACTGCCATATGTTTTTTTCCATGATTTTCCAATGATGGTTGACCACGACTTCGCCTTGCCCCCCTTGGGCCGGGCCCCCAACAGTGATCCCAACGGTGATCCCGGTGATCCCGGTGTCGGGGATCCAAGGCTCTACACCCCGATGGGTTGCGGTACACTGCTGATGCGCAACCCCTTGGATCCTTCGCGCGTTTGCAAGTCTGCGCGCTACATCATCAGTACCTGGGGGCTGATAGAACTGGGTATGGGTTAACATCCAACGTTTGTTGGAGAATGAGGGTTTACAATGGTTTATATTTCACTTACTGTACTTAATATCACTGTGGTTTGTAGTTGGGTTTAATATGGATCAATACCTATAGATACCATTTTTAGTGGGATGAACATCCATAAATCCCAGCTATTTTGGGGTTCACTAGGTACCAGGGTTTTGACCCATCCCCATCTGGCAATCTGGGGGCTCTTGGTGATGGGAATTTTGTGATGGTAATAGCACTAGATTGTTTTTATGTTATTAATATCACTGATATATTATAATCATCAATATATATATATGGAGGTTTCCTAAGTCATGGGGGTACCCCAGTTATCATCGATTTTAGATTCGGATTGTCCATGAAATAAACTATCCATTTTGGGGGACCCCCAGTCGTCACCATGGGATTACCGGTTTCAAAACTAGTCGTGGACCAGGTCCACGACTGGATGACCGGGGGTACCCCCATGACTTGGGAAACCTCCATATATATATATTGATGATTATAATATATCAGTGATATTAATAACAATAAATATAGTGGTTATTAAAAGCATTGAACCATTGTCATTTTGTCATTTTGTCGGGAGATTTTAAGCAACAAAATCATAGGCATTTTACGCATTTCACGGGGATAGAATGGCGTGTGCTATCATGTAATGTTCACCCCAGGGTTTGCGATTTACCTCTGGGCTGTTGATCATTGGGCAGGCATCAAAAAAAGTAGCAGGTTATTGTGATTATTTGATATTATTTGGGGGGTAACCACCAATTTGTTAAATCAACGCAGGCTTATTCATCCAGAGTTGACATTAGTTTGGTGGAAAAGAGACCGACATATTTTGGGAGTAGTAGTATAGCTTACCATGGTTTCCCATGGTTCGAAACAGACAGTGTCTGGAAAAACAAGGTGCAATCGGAGCCCCCACTTTGGTGGAACACCAGGTCCTCCAACGATGTACACAGTTTCGGTTGTAAAAGACACCACTTGTGGTTGAAATTGGTTGAATTTTATGTATATAATTGTATAATATATATATATATATGTATGTATATTTTTGCCGAATTCGTAGTTGCAATATGTTGCAATGTTGCGATGTTTTTGTTCATCACATCGTCCTACTGATGGCTTTGATCAGTGGCAGAACCAGGATGCTCTTTAACCATCAGATTTGGAGGTCTTATGTTTGGACGCAGCCAAACTATATAGTTTGTTTAATTTTGGTTACACATAAACACATATTAATTTTGGTTATATAGGTTTATACATATGATATAGTATATATATACTTAAATTACATGCATAATAAGTACTTGATATGTATATATAGGCTTGTCCCACCTCTTGGAACTACATACCATGGGGGGTGGATGGGGTGTTTTTTTAACGTTCATGTGAACTTGCAGAAGCAGTTGATGCTACGCACACGCGGGGTGGGGGGGGGATGGGGTGGGATGTTAACGTTCATGTGAACTTGGGGGGGGGATGGGGTGGGATGTTAACGTTCATGTGAACTTGCAGAAGCAGTTGATGCTACGCACACGCGGGGAGGGGGTGGGGGGGGGATGGGGTGGGATGTTAACGTTCATGCGAACTTGCAGAAGCAGTTGATTGGGAGAGGTCCTCAAAGCTGTGCGAGACTTGCAGCTCCTGTGACGAGACAAAAACCAGAACTGGTCTCACATGTTTCTGGGAGAGGTCTGCAAACACCGTGTTCATGTTGATACTAATGCTGATGATGATGATGATGTCATGATGATGATGTCATGATGATGATGATGATGATGATGACGACCCTAATGAAACTTGTCAATTCCGGGACAAAATTTCATCCCGGAATTGACACGTTTTACCGACCTAATTCGGGTTGTGCGCAGTTCCAAGAGGTGGGACGAGGCTATATATACATGTAATATATACATAATATGTGTATACATGTAATATTATACAATTTATATATAAATATATCATGTTGTTTATCCCGCGAAAATATATCTCCATATGGGTCCATGGGCCATTTTTCTTCCCCATGACATGGGCCAAAGAGAGCGATTTGGGTCAAAAAACCACGAGGCGAGGATTGCGATTTTGTTCGACTTCCTGTCCAATCTTCAACAAGTTTTAACGTGTATTATATATATATATATATTTATAAATATTATCTTATATTAAATATTATATATATCTATGTATTTAGAGGTCTGAAGATAATGTCTTTGTTCTTTTGTGGTGGAGATCACGTCCATTTCATCTCAGCAGGTTCATTTTCCCACGTGCCCCGCCTTAGGAGAAGACAGTTTCGACCAAGGAAGGCAGGTTCCAACCGACGGTGTGGATGGGAACATAGAAAGCACCGAACTCCGAACTTCCCGGCTGATAGAGGTTTCCCCCTGTTCAAGCCATTTCATGTGGTCAGTTTACAATGTCATCAACTAGAAAAATGACTGGGAATGGGATTTCCATACCACCGACCAAAACATGGTTTTCTGACTGGGGGTGCGTTTATGGCATGGTTTTAACCACATGAAACTGGTCATGAGACTTCCATGTTGTTCATGGATGTATTTCTTGGGACACAGCTCCAAGATTTTTTTTCGTAACCAACCATTGAGTTGAGGATGTCGCGTACAACACATGTTGATCAGTTGCAATGTTTGCTTGAATGCCCGATAGATGCCAGATGGAATGTCAGATAGAATGTCAGATAGAACGCCAGATAGAATTCCAGATAAGATATCAGATAGAATTCCAGATAAAATGTCAGATAAGATATTAAAAAAACAACGGGGGGTATCATTCGGAGAAAGTCATTTTAGCTGGAGATGTTTGTGTCGCGTTTCACAGACATCGGGATCCTGTTCAGACCCAATGGCTGACCACGAAATTGCGCTTGAGCGCACGGTTATTATTTTGGCTTTGGACCTATTATCATTTTACATGTCCAAAGTTGGTAGCAAAGTCCATCAGACTTATCCCCAGACAGACAGATTCTAGCAATCCAACGGCTATTAGATGCTATTACAATGTGGGGCCCCCCAGCTATAAGATGGATTATAAACCCCATTAACTATAGTTATAGGTACCATAAACCATAGTGACATTGGAGTTATGTGCACCAACTTAGCTATCTTGGGGGCCCCGCTTTGTAGTATTTTGGCAATGTAACAGCCAATCCAAAACAAATCTCAGCAACTTTAGGGTGGAGTGCCAAAGCAGCGACCCCGTATTACAAAAAGCCTTGGCCTTGTCTCATCAATTTTTAGCTCTGTCCTTTTTTTCTGGTATGCCACACCCAGAAATAGACACGGACCTCATGTCAGTGATGTCAGTTATTTCTGTTAGTTGTAGACTAATGTAGACTTATTAAAGTTTACCCTCTGGTAAACTTACAAAAAGCTATTGAAAATGGCCCAGTCGAAATAGTGGATTTTCCCAGCTACAAAATGGTGGATCTTTCCAATAGCTATGTCAACGTTTACCAGAGGGTAAATCCCATTAAATCCCATTAAACCACCATTTTCCTAAGGTTTTCCTAGGGTTTATGACTGTTGTTATTTGACTACGACTACGACTCGAAACGATCGCATCATACCACCCAACCCGCGGGGCTTTTTACCGTTTCCAAAACCTGGCAAACAGGGTTGGTTGCACGCCAAATTGCACCATTGGGGATGGCTACCTGTTTTGGTTTTCTTGTACTTGTGGCATTTGAAATCTTCTGGAAAAAATTCTGGATATCTATTTTCCGATACTCCAACCATGTTTTGTTTGGCAAATAATTTATAATTTGTTGAAGTGAACCCAATATTTACTTTGGAAACCCGGTTAGCAATTTGGATCAAATATCGACGTTTTAGACAACATCGAGTTTCCTTAAAGTGAATCGTGAATATCTTGATATAATTGAAAATTCTTGGTCATAACCACCAATAAAACACAAAACTCTTCCAACAAAAATCCACCCCCATATTCCCCCGATCATTTGACTTGGGTTTTGAGTCCATTGTTTGAACCGTTGGCCGTCGGTTGGCCATCACAGGTTTACCTTGGAGGGCTCTCGACCCGCCATGGCCACTGGGAAATTTCGGAACTGAGTGGTGGTTTTCTGGGGTTTCAAGGGTAAGTTGGGCCACGAAAGGCTATACCCTCTGGTAAACTAACATAGCTATGGTAAATCACCATTTTTAATGGGAAAACTCACTATCAATGGCCATTTTCAATAGCTTTTTGTATGTTTACCAGAGGGTGCTTTTGTTACATGATTTTTCGGGCCATGTCTTCCCACGATCTCATGGTCAAGTGGCCTTGGCGATTTATCGGGCTATGATTCTCTGGGTGAGTTTTTTGACGAGGCAGGATTTTGACCGTCCATTCACTTCCAACAAATTCAGACACATCACAGATAATGTCAACCCTGGATTAATAAACCCCTAGGATGTTTAATTGGGAGGGTACCATTTTAGATATTTTAGTATTAGACCATGACTATTGGAGGAGTACCCCCCTTTTTTTTATAAACCAGGGTTTAGTCTCATCCGGGGTTGACATTATCCCTTTGATGTGTTGCTCATGGATATGTTTCCAACAGCTACAGGATGGGGCCCCCGTAAGATAGCGTTCAGTTGCCTAAAAAATGTGGCTGAATTCTATCGTTTATGATAGATATATAACTATAGTTTTCATGGGGATTATAATGGTTTATGAACCAACTTATAACTGGCGGGCCCCATCCTGTACTGGTTTGCTGCACCTGATTCTTGAACCGTTGTCCAGTTGTGTACTGCAATGCTGCAATTTCCCGTTATTTGTATCCAACTAGACAAAAATTTTGAAACAATAACGCCCAAACCCCAAAACCCCTACACCCTAATCAGTTAAGCCTTAAATATAGCAAAATATATTCAGCAGCTGAAGTATTATGTAATGTTTAGTGGAACTGTAGTCTGGAATCCATCAAAATATGTTATAAAACCTTCAAAATCACAATTTTTAGCGTATGGGGACTCCAAAATTAACCACATCAAAAAAAGCATTAAAACCACCCAAGTTCGTTTTTTCTAGCTGGATGTACGTACCTTTGAAGGTAAAAACTAAAGAGAGAACATGATCTGGAATCTATGCCAGCGGTTTTGGGATTAACACAAAAATCGAGGACCCACGAAAGCATTCACGTTGCTTAGATGAAACCAATCATCACCGTTTTAAAAGAATGTTTGAAATGGCCCTTCCCAAACATATTCTCCGATGGCCATTGAACACAGAACTGGAACTGGACATGTGCATTTTTGTCCAGCAAAAACTTGGGTTTTATGGTGGAGTTTTTCATAGGATGTATTTCAATTAGACCACCATCAGCTGGCCCAGCTGCTGGTTTCAAACATTTGGGCAAATTATGACGACCTCACTGCAAGCGAACTCTGGATGGTTAGGATTGGAGTTTTTTGTCCAGTCCAAGAACTAGATTAGCATGATATTTCAAACGTTTCTATTCATGAGACTGTTTGGAAATGGCTATCCTCATAGTTCAGGTCAAAAAAAGTGAAATACCCTCTGGTAAACTAACGGTTAGCTATTGAAAATGGCCATAGAAATAGTGGATTTACCCAGCTATAAAATGGTGATCTTCCATAGTTATGTAAACGTTTACCAGAGGGTAAATCCCATTAAATCCCATTAAACCACCATTTTCCTAAGGTTTTCCTAGGGTTTTCCACAAAAACCATGAACCATGCCATTTATCACGTTCTCAGGCCATTTATCTTCACATGAACCTACGATGCTTGGGTCGACAAGGTGCGAAGGGTCTTGCTAACGACCTGCGACGTCACTTGCACGAGGATTACCCTCTGGTAAACGTTTACATAGCTATGGAAAATCACCATTTTTCATGGGTAAATCCACTATTTCTATGGCCATTTTCAATAGCTATGTAACAAATTACCAGAGGGTATAAGATTGGGGGAACTGTCCCACAACTTTTATTGGCTGGTTGGTGGTTTGGACCATTTTTTTTCCAGAAACAGTTGGGAATGTCATCCAGCTGTCACTCCATGATTTTTCAGAGGGGTAGGTTGAAACCACCAACCAGTTGGGGTTAGTGAAGAATCCGATTTTTTTTGCTTCAACAGGGGTCTCCTTTTCCAATCAGTAGGGCCTTGGTGGCCAATTTTTGATGATCATTTGAGGGCAAAAAAAACACGGAGAGTGACTTACATCAACTTACATCCCTTAAATTTTAGCCAGGTACTGAACTATTGGAATTCCATTCTCCAATTTTTATGTTGGTATCATTATATTTTTCACCTGCAGGGACCAGTGAAAACCGTTTGGTATCATTCACTTACTTGACCTGAGAATGACTAACACATTTTCCGACAAAAACAACGGATCTCACAAGGACCTCTTTATCATGAATGACAGTTAATATCAATGGATTGGTTTAAGGGAAAAATTACAGGAAACCATGGTTTTTACCATTAAATATGGGGCTTTCCTGTAAATTTTCCCCTAAACCAATCCATTGATAATAAGGAGAATCATCTTGAAAACGTGTTTTTTTTTTTTCGATAAAAGGGACCTGCACGGACAAACATAAAAGTTGGATCATAAGCATAGTGAACAATAATAACTATATATGGTTATTATTCCAACTTATATTACAACTACGCTTTTCTCAACTATCATAACTATATTATACTATATTCATAAGCTGGATTAATTTAATTAATCATATTTGATTATATGGTTATATATTGTTATTATTCCAACCATTATATTTCCCAACTATCATATAATTAGCTTAATTCATAGTTGAGATTTCCCTAACTATATGCTAACTATTCCCTAACTATATCCTAACTATCCTAACTAATTACTATATTTGTAGAATAATAACCATACATATATATATATTCCAAGTTAATAGTTGGATTAATTATTAACTATTAATAGTTGGAATAATTCATATTTCTTTCCCAGGATTCCCAGGACCCGATCATCCCGATCAACTGGTGCGTTCGAATCGTAGTGAAAATCGGTGAAAAAATCCCCGTTTTTTGAATATCCATCGGTTGGAAAAACCCATCATATGAACAAAACATGGGTATATTTCACCGTAGGTTCTATCATTATGGTATTTTACATCATCACTTAAAATTATGGGCTTTAGGTTTCAAAATACCATCGTTATAGACTACTTAGGTTCTATACCTATTACCCTCTGGTAAATAACATTATGGAAAATCACAATTCTTAATGGGTAAATCCACTATTTCTATGGCCATTTTCAATGGCTATTTTGACATAACCAGAGGGTTAAGATGCAATTTATAGTGAATTTTCCCATGAAAAATGGTGATGTTCTATCCCTATTAAGATACCATGGTTATCGCCATAAATCAATGGATTGGTTTACGGGAAAATCTACACCGGAAACCATATAGATTTTCCCATTTTTTATATGAGGCTTTCCGGTTCCAAATTTCCCTTAAACCAACCCATTGAATACCCTCTGGTGAACTAACAGTTCGCAATGGAAAATCACCATTTTATAGCTGGGAAAATCCACTATTTCTATGGCCATTTTCCATTGCGAACTGTTAGTTCACTACAGGATAAATCCATTGCCAAACCGCTTCACCCCATGACTTAGCCAGGCCTTCTTAGCCGTATCGCTGCGGGTTGTGCCCTCGCGCAACGATTAGCAGAGATGCTGCGACGCGATGAAAGTAGCGCCTTGGAGCCGTACGGCAAGGTGAAAACCATGGGACCTAGAAAACCAGAGGAAAACCATGGGAAAACCCTGGGAAAATGGTGGTTTAATGGAATTTAATGGGATTTAGCCTCTGGTTATGTCAAAATAGCTATTGAAAATGTCCCACTTATAGTTGATTTACTTATTAAAAATGGTGATTGGGACCCCCTTGGACTCCAAAAGTACCTTCAAAGTTGGGTAATCAATGATTTTGATTTATGTTTGAGGGACTTTTAGCCATTTCCATTGGTACTGGGGGGCGGAAAATTTCATCGGTCTTTATTTTAGAGGTTTACCAGCAAAAAGTGGCTGCAACCATCAGTAAATAATGACATATAAGCAATAACAATAACACATACCCTGAAAATTGCCAGTTTAACTGGGAACATGATGACAAAACCTGGGTTCTGAGGGGTACGCCATTCCCAGACAAACCAAGATTTTCGTGCCATGGAAATCGAGCCTACAGCCGACCAGATTCCACACATGGCCGCGCAAGCAGCCCAGCACCCAAGCAGCCTGGTAAAATTGGGGATTGTTGATTACTTTTATAGATTTATTTCATCTATTCTAATGAAATGAATAATTAAACTACTGTTTTACTATTTATTTACTACTAGATGTTGATTAAACCATCAAACAACGAAACATCTATTCTAATGAGACCCAGCATGATCTCCAGCATACAAATCAATGATCTTCGTGGCAGAACCTATTGTATTTGTTCGCATGATTTCACTGCAGAATCAAAGGTTGCAAACATCTATCTTTGGAATCTTTAGAAAAAAACATCTGACATGTTGAGAAACCTGCTGGTAGGGAATGGAGAAGATCGTGATGAAGGAATGACTGACAACGATACAATGTGATGGTGATAACTTAGGAAAAAGAAAGAACAAAACGAAACACTGAGCTTCAACAACCACAAGAACAAGAAAAACCACCACCACCGCCACCACCGCCCCCACGGCCACCGCAACCACAACCAGATGCCCTCGGTAGATGGGGGGGGTCTTCTAAGGGGGAGGCATACCCCTTGGAGCCATGACATATTCGTAGGGAATTGGAAGCTTATTACGATGGCCAACTGAGCTACAGAAGGGTTGTAGTAGTTTGAAGTAAACATGTGAAAAAGTGTGTTTTGGAAATGCATTATTTTTGACATGTGAAAACATGTATTTTGAAATTGTGAAAAAATGCGACGACATGTATTTTTTAAAGCAATTTTGAAGCTTTCTTCTCTTTTCCTTCTGCATTTGATTTTATATTTTTGCTCCTGGTAGTCATTGTTTTGCTATAGATAGATTAAACAAATCTGCGATCTGCACAGTCCACTTCCGATTTGAACTGCTCCCCAATTTCAACCTGCAAAAGTTGGGCAGCAAAGTGCAGCAAAACTGGACCCCACAAGATCAAACCTGAAGAAAAGATGTCAGAATTCCACCTTCCCAACTGGATATTCAAATGTTTCTTCACATTTTGCCAATTTTTTTAAACATATGTTTTTCACACTTTTTCCAAGTGCATTTTCAAAACGCATTTTTTCACATTTTTTTCCAAGTGCATTTTCAAAACGCGTTTTTTTTCCACATGTTTTCACCAAAATGTGAAACATGTGGAAAGTGCGAAAAATGTGAAACAATGCGTTTTGAAAATGCACTTGGGAAAAATGTGAAAAATGCAGCGTTTTAAAACTGTGAAACAAATGTGAAAAATGTGTAACATATGAAAACAGAGAACAAAAGGCAGTTGAAAAGTTCCTGTTTCTGAGCTCCATGTTTCCCATTTTTTTTCCAGATATACGCGCTTTTTCCGGTTGTCTTTGAAATTCAATCTTACTGTAAATTATAGAAGATTGAACTTAAGCATTAGGTTTGCATAAAAAGCATGTATTCATTTTCAATGATTCATGTCAATAGATTCAGAATGAATGTAAGTTGATTTTTTCGTCCATTGGGGCTAATGCACCAGCTTTCGGGGCGAGGGGGTTGTATGGGATAGAAAGGGTTTGAATATTTCGTCCATTTGTGTGGGGTATTTCTCTGTGGCTGGTCGTCCAGGCCCAGGATGAAGCTCAGCGTGCGGCCGCACAGCAGCGTGCTGCGGCACAGGCGCGACCCCGGCAGGAGGGACCCTACACAAGGTCCTGCTGCCGGCGTCCCTCTTTCAGGAGCTCGACCTGTAAGGTGAGTTCCTGGGGAGTATGGAGGTTTGAGTCTATTGTATGCCATTCTATTCAATCTTTCCATTTTTTTAAAACACATATATCAAATACCATTACATGATATCTAAGGGGGTTGGGGATATCTGTATCCAGTGATGGAGGTGAGGGGGGTTGTTATGTGGAGGTTTGGGTTGGTTGAAAAAGTCAGAAGAAAGGCCACCCAAAGTATGTTTGGAACAATGTGGTTGAAGGCTCATAGGGCCACATGGCCACCCCCCTGGCTGGGCTTATACATACGTTTTCTCGACTGTCAATGGTTCAACAATTGCTGTTGAACATTGATTTTTGTAGGTTTTGGAGTTTGAACATCTTTGAACCAAGCATGAAATGGGCTGAAGCTGCACAAAATAAACGATGTGTATATACTGTATATATATATAATATGTTTGTCATGTTTGGATGCGATTGGGCAGATTTGTGGTACAAGTTGGATGAGGCCTGTCTTAGCTTCGGTGGCTTCAGGTAGTGTCACCGGTGCTTTGCTGACTCTTGCAAGGGAAATTTCAAATCCTAGCTTTCAGCTGCCTCCTCCTCCCTCAGCATCGGAAGTCTGCTCTCTGATTCTACCACTTCCTCAAGCTTGGAACAAAGTGCCAAAATCGGAGGAGGTCCTGCACGAACTGCTGGTTTTAATGCTTCCACGTGTCTCGTCTCGAGTCTCTGGTTTTCCTGTGGCCCCGCCCGCCGTGTCTGTAGGGGAAGCTGCGAAACCTCTCATTTTCGAACGTTTCCAAGCCGTGTCTGTAGGGGAAGCTGCGAAACCTCTCAGTTTCGGAGGTTTCCAAGCAGGTTGTCATGTCGTTTTGCTTGGCAGGAAATTGGTTTTGTGTGTGTGTGGCAAGCGCAATACTTTTGCGTCGTTCTCACAAGATGAGTTGCAGTTTTCGTGGCAGGGGCAGCATTTTGGAGACCTCTGTCGTCAGTCTGCGTGGCAAGCGCAGCACTTCAGACGTGTCACATTGCGTGCTCTACACACCACACTCCACACTCCACACTCTACACTCTACACTTCACACTTCACACTCCGCACTCTACACTTTACACTCCACACTCCTCACTCAACACTTTACACTCCACACTCCACACTTTACACTCCACACTCTTGACTTTACACTTTACACTCCACCCTCCACATTTTACACTCTACACTATGCACTCCACACTTTACACTTTACCCTCCACACTCAGCACTTTACACTCCACACTCTACACTTTACATTCCACACTCTACACTTTACACTCCACACTCCATGCTCTACACTTTAAACTACACTTTACACTCTACACTTTACACTCCACACTTTATACTCCACGCTCAGCACTTTACTCTCCACACTCCACACCCTACACTCCACACTCCACACTCTACACTCCACACTCTACACTCCACACTCCACACTCTACAATCCACACTCCACGCTCTACACTTTACACTCCACACTCCACACTTTACACTCCACACTCTACACTTTACACTTTGCAATCTGCACTTTAGACTCCTCACTCCACACTTTACACTCCACACTCTGCACTCTACACTTTACACTCTACACTCCACACACGCTTTGCACTCCACCCTCTTCTGCATGGGGAAACATGTAGACTGTTCAAATAACTTGTTTCACAAAAGTGTTCTACGTGACTGCATTCGGGTTCGTGGGCTGCATCTTGTTTTGTAATCCACTTGCAAATCAAAGGCATGCCACAATAGTGGCAACTTCCAGACATAGTGCCTGGTGTTGAGTTTGCTGTTTGGTCGATTCCATTGGTGAGCTCCCCGTCAAGCCATCAGAACTTCAAGTGTTTCACAACTCATCATGTTCTTCCTGTGGTCCAGGTTGGTCTTCTCGTTCAGCTGGTGCGGCAACTCGCCCATCTTTGAGGCAGCTTCCACTCTTGGAGGCATCCGTGCCCCTGTTAGACCCCCAGATTCTGAGATTTCTATTCTTGGGGATGTTACTGTAAACAAAATAGGTGCAAAGCCACCATTGGGCCTAAAGGGTGAAAGCTGAGACTGTGCGAGTCAATCTGCACGAGCCAGAAAACGATACATCTGCTGGGCAACAAAATAAATCCTGTTTTTGGGACTGTGGTTTTCCAGAACAACTTGAAATGCAGGAAAGAATGTCGAGCTCAGGAAGCAGATGCTGATTTTCCAGCTCTTTTCAGCAACTCAGCAGCTCCAAGGATCATACCAGGACCAGCTCACCTACAGTTATTTTCTCTGTTGAATCCTTGCTGTCTCTTGGAGCCGGACTTGAAAACCATAGCCTACTCACTTTTTACTTTCTCGCAGTTTCGTGCTAGTTGGATGGTTTCTACTGACATCTACTGACTACAAAAAATAAGATTCTGATTTAATTTATGGAAGGCCATTCGTAAGCGATTTGTAACCTAACATGTGACTTATGACCAATTTTGGTGGACTCAGGTACTAGACCTTTATAGAGAGGCTATTTTTCTGGCAATGTTCTGATTTGTGGGCCCGCTGATCCTGATTTTACAGAGGGGAGGTTTTTGAGATGAATTTGGTGATTGCCGCATCCCGTTAACATTGCTATCAAGGCACAAGGAGAATGGGTCTGATTAGCTGCCGATATAGCAGCTCACTAATGTGATTGTTATTGAGGTTTCACGCAGCAGTGGATCCACGTCTTAGAGATAGTGAGATAGATATAACCGATAGATAAATATGATATAGAGAGAGATAGACAGATGGATTGATAGAGGGGGCATCAGACTGGTTTCGGATT